CTTAGCACAACCATTTCAATTCTAGATTCAATGACTTAAATTTCGAAGACAACTTCGATTTATTTGACTCACAGTATTTTCTTTCAGGCATATTTGATATATTCTGATAATGAATTCTGAAATTGGATAAATCTCATAATGTGAACTGAGTTTAACTAGTTAAGTTAAATTCATGTGAGCCAATATCATCATATTGCTTAATTCGTCATTAAAAGATTTATTTATTTCAAATGGCAGGCGTTTTGATAGTTATCATTAGCACTTTAGTTGACTTCAGGCTTCACAGAGGAGGAGGAACATCAAAGTGAAAAAAGTCGAGAGGGGGACAGAAGAGTGTTTCAAAGATGTAAAAGAGGCAGACACGAGGATGGAAAAAGGGGAGGTGAGTACTGTGGAAGTAGTCAAATATGACATATAGTGGGGTGATGGGAGTTAGAAGTCAGAAGTCAACTGCTGATCAATAGACTTGCCGTGTGAGTATACGTTGCCCAGAGAGAGCCACGTGGAGGCAAGTCTATCGCACCCCCCATCATTAAAAGATAAAATGTGCTTGTTTCAAGAAGTAGGTTATATCAAATAATAATAATAATATAAAACAATATATGGAAGTGACATCACCTACGAAAACGTACCCTCGAAGTACTTTTAATGTCTAACTTGAAAAGGGTCTAGGTCTAGAAGAATTCAGGAGTTTCTATATGGGGTTTTAAAATTTTAACTTGATTTCCTTCTGAAGAACCTAATTTTAGACTGCTCTCTGTGCTTCGAGTTTTTTCCCTCGAATAAGTGATCTGCTTTTACAGCCGAAACCTTTATATCTCATGTCGGGATAAAATATTTGACAATTCCACTTTGTGGGAATGCGAGTGAATTCAGGAAAAAAGGCAAGTCCAGAGTAGGAAATAGGGAAAATGTGATTTGAAAATTGTTTAGTATGAAGCCACTACGATATGTTTCATCACCTGACTTGCGAGTCCAGTTTTAGAGTATTTACTTTTCATGAGTAGTTCACGTTCCAAAAGGGAAATTGCGTTATCCATGGGCCGGATATTTGACTGAATTATTGTGTGACAAACTCAGTGCATATTGATTGCTTAATTATGCTGGTGGTAGGTTCTATCATTTCCAAAATTCCTGAAAGTAAATTGTATGGTTTGAACAAGAAAGGTCAATAGTTAAAGCTTTATTCAAGCCGTTTGATAGGTATTCGATGCTTTCTAATAAAACGTCAATATAAAAGTCAAAAGATGTTTCTACCATGGGATAGCTGCTTAGGAAGAAAGAATAGATGATAACTTATAAAAGGAAATTTTCCATTTAATGAAATGGACAAATGTGGTTAGCTTTTCCTTTGTCATTTGCCTGTCAAGCTTCATTTGAATTATTGTGAGCAGAAGAGTTGTCACCTAAGAAGAGTCGTTTCATAGCATACTAGAGTGATTGGTAGAACGTTCATTTTTCCAGTTTTTCGATAATCTTTCTATTTCAACTAACTCTAGTTAATGTTTACGGTACCGATTTTCAGTCTTATAAATAAGCATCTTCATTAAGCCTTCTAAGAGCTGATATAGGAAATCCATTCTAAAATGCAACTCATTTCAAAAAGAACATGTACACTATATATCGATAACTTTACCTTATCATTTAATATTTATCTACGCCACCTCTCCGTTGCTGTCTACTGAAGTATGCTGTGTATGTGTTTGCACCTATATTTTTTCTAATTCTACTCAATATGTAAAAAAACCATTTGACGAGTTGAGATATCTTAAATATAAGTTTAAATTAGAGTAACAATTTTAAGCCAATGCATACTTAGAAATTGTGTGCCTCTGTGCGTAAAACTCATAGCCCAATACAACACGAGACGTGACCTTTCAACCGTGCTCAGTCGTGCAAAAAGGGAACCAACGTGCGCACCCAAAGTGGAGAGGATTTGATTGGTTCACTATCGATCCAATTGTTGCACTTAAAGAATATTAACATTGATCTTATTGGTTTGAGAATACTATAAATAGATGAGTACAATGATAAGGTGATTTCAGAGATAACAGTGAGGCTTAATTCATGCCGGTGGAGAACGGCCCTATTAACCCACAAAATGGTGGTAGCTTCCAGAATGCCGGAAATTTTCTGAACATAGCCGATTTTCAGAACTGTGGCTTAAATTTTGGTTCCTTGAGCTTCCTCATGAATTCCCTAGCAACAAGAAAAATATTTGTTGGGGGATTACCTTATGAAACAACTGATGCTAAGCTCAGAGAGTTTTTTGAACAATTTGGCCCGATCGAAGAAGCCGTTGTCATTACCGACCGTGCAACACAAAAGAGTCGTGGATACGGATTTGTAAGTTGCTTTTGGTTTCTTAAATCCTTTTTTTCTCTAAATTCATTTGGCTATCGATCGGAATCCTTTCGGCGTTTGCCAAAAGGTAAATTTTTTTGTAACAAATTTGAAATGTTACACTTTACCAAGGTAAAGTAGGCAGCGTACAGATAAGGTAAAGAAAGCATGTAACTTAGTAAATTACAAACAGAGCTATGGAGATTAAAAATCATGACTGACCCGTTGAGCTTATTAGTTAAAATTGTCTAAATTCTCTGCTTTTTTTAATAGGTTACAATGGTTTATTCGGCGGATGCAGCCAAAGCGATTTCGGATCCAAATCCTTGCATTGATGGTCGTAAAGCCAATGTAAATTTGGCTATCCTGGGAGCCAAACCGAGGCAAATTCCTGGAAGTGAGTTTAAACTTCTTGTTCTTGAGCCTCACAGTTATCCTCGCACGCTCTGTTGATCTTTGCGAAAGTGTCACTGTGTTTGTGTGTGTGCGTGTGTCTAGCCAAGAGAAAAATGATGTCTAATAGCTGTGACACAGAGTCACTTCTGTCCAATAAAGGTCTCTCGCCTATTGTAATTACAAGTTTACCACTTTATCCATAGGCTCAATGCCAGTCGATAATTATCAATGACACAGCTATGTGCTTATACTGCAGGTCAATCGTGCGCTTGTTTTAAGCTAAGATATTTTACCTTTAATTTAGTGTGCTTTTTAGAAAATTCAACCCTCTTGGAAACCTCATGCAGTTCTTGTTTCATAAATTAAGAAGAGTCCTGAACTGAAAAGGTCAATTAGCCTACAAACCCTGTTGATACAGAGTTGTTCACTTGAGTTGCTGTGCCGTGTGACAGTGCATTTAATGAACCAGAATATAAGAAGTTGTGCTCTTATTGATTAACTACCCGCCGTTACAATGGGTAAAGTATTGATTTAGTCATTGTTATGTTCTGATATATCAATAGTGCAAAGTCAATTAAAAACTCGCCTTTCCAATTACAGTTCATTACGATTTGAAATGGTAGATTAAAGTTCTTAGCAAAGCTGTGATTTGTAGACAAAAAAATGGTTGGTCTTCAATGCTACTATTATTGTGAGGAGTAGATTTGAGAACAGAAAACGCATTCATTGCTCGCTTAGTTAACATCATTTTTATCGATCTTCATGTACGAATTTCGTAAGTTAGCATTTTCCTAACCAATTGCAAGTGGTGTTTCACAGAAGCTCTTAACGCATCTTTGTAGTCCTTCCATTTTGACTGAACGCCCCTTTTATCCCCTTTTCAGTCACAAACGCTGCAAACATGTTGGCCATGGCTCAAATGTAAGTGAAATTGTGCGTATTATTTATTTTCCTAGACAATTGGGCGTACGAAAGCTATGTTATTAACACTCAGTAATATTATTGCCACTTGTAAATAACAATGGTAGGTTATAATTTGGTAAATTTAAAGAAGCTACGAGAATTATTTTGATAGTAGGTGATAATACAATGTGCTTACATGGCGATATCTAAAAACTACCAAACTTTCTCATTTAGTAAAGTGCCAAGTGAATCTAAAGGTAGTCTTTCTTGATTTTCGATATTCTGCTTGTGAAAGTCTTGCAGTGGTTTCGCCTCCTTTTTTTACTTCATTTTCCTTAATTTAATTTGTTGCTTGTGTCTTGGATTTTCTTTTGGTATCATGGCAGTTCATATTATTATTATTATTATTATTTGCTTTGTATTTCGCATGATTCAATCATTGGCTTGGCACATCTTAATCAAACATTTTTTTCGGTGGAGTTAGTATTTATAATTTTTGTGTTTGTCTGCTGTTGGCATTTGGTTTTTTGGATATTATTAAAAAAATCGATAATTGCTCGTATTTTGAGCCTAATTTCATTTCATTATTTATCTATTTCATTGTGTTTTTGTTTAATTAATTATTATATTTGCTAATGATTTTATCCACTTTGCATAATGCTAAATTCTGTTTTATTTCCTGCTACAGCATAATATCGATAGTAGAATAAGATCCTATAATAGTTTTATTATTAAGTGAACTTTGGTCAAATTCTAACGTCTGGGTTTCATTCTGGCATTCAAGTTCATTAGCTAGCTGGTCTCAATTTCCACCTATCTCAACCCATACATTGTGCTGGTTAATTACGGTAAATTCTGATAAATCACGGTTGTTTATAGGCTACGCTATGCTTTTACTATTCGCCATGCGGATTACATTGCCGATTTTCCTTGACTAGAGGTTTGTTTGGAACCTTGGCGACTTATGTTTTAGCTTTGTTTCCACCTTGTTTAAAATTTATGTGTCATTTCAAAACATCGGATGCTAATCAAATCACTCTTGTTTTATCTTAATAACCGTTTCTGTCCAGTTACGCTTTTTTGACGAATTTGGGGATTCAAGCTAGCTACTCTGGTATTGAGGAGGAACCACTAATGTCAGCCGCCCGCTAGTAAAATGTAGCATACCAAGAGACTAGTTTGGTTTTATCTCAAATGAAGGCAGCCTAAAAGCTTGATAATTGACTAATTCCGTGTATGTAAACACAGTACAATGCCTGATTGAGTAGCTTCTTGATTTATTTATAATTGTGTGTTTGATCGTGCAAGTGCAGTACATTGTGAGTTGGTTGATTGTGTATGTTGAGCTTGTGAAGTAATATTTGATTTGACTTGTTTTAACCACATACCTAGTGACACATTACTCCTAACTCGTGTATGATTTGAAAGTTTGATCAATCATCCTCTTGGATAAACGGAGCTCTGGTGATCTCATGATTTCATGCACCTTGATTCCGGATGTGTGTAAGTGTGCGTGGCTATGCCGGTTATGGAAATCTCCTAAAGGATGGTCTTTTGCCGCTTGAAGTATTGCACGCAAGCAATGATTGTGTCTGGTTTTACTTTGCTGTTTTTGCTCATTTCAAAATGTCCGTAGCAAACCCTATTTCCCTCAGCTATCTTCTCACTTACTTTCTTATTTATTTTAGGGATATGAATCTTCTTACGAATTCAGGTACTTCTTCTCTTAATCCGGGCCTTGTTGCAAATACTGGACAAGTAAATCCCGCGATACTTCAAACCATGTTGGGATTGAATGGCATGAACCAGCCGAGACCACTTTTTCCATCCCAAACTCCTCTGCCGCCTCAAACACCGGTCCCTCCGTTTCCAGCTGACTATTCAAGAACTCCGAATCCCTATCTTGCTCAACCACCCCAGGTTATGAATTCTGCTGTTGCTACTACATTGGCTTCCGCCGTCGCTGCAAACCCCTATCTTCTTGCTCAACTTTTGTACAATAATAATGCTGCTAGTCTTAACTGGGATCAACAACAAGCACTCAACACCACAGTCAATACTCTTACGCCTGTGGGCAATCTACCACAAAATTTCGCTGGAGAAGCTGAAGTTCTCGCTCAAGCTGTCATGAATCAACAGGTTCAACATCAGCAAATGCATGTGCAACCTCAATTTCCCGCTCAACTTATGACGGGAGATGCTCTGACGAGAGCCCCAAATGGAAATGCTCAGCCTTCATGGCCATCGATGTTTCAACAGCAACCTCAACTTTCTCCTCCTAACGGCGTTAATGGCAACAGAGGAACGCCGGGATATGGCATGGAACATGGTTCCATGTACGAAAATGGAGTGAATGGTGACAGTAATGTCGCTAATAATAAATCAGGAAACGCGGCAGGAATGTCGCTTCGGAGTAAAATGTGAAGAGGGGAGAATGGGTGGATGTATTATTGTTGGGGTTCACATTGACAATTAAAACTATGCTCAATCCACTAACACGCAAACGCTTACCATCAATTATCTTGGCCATCGAAATCTGTTCGACGATCGTTACTCCTCCCCACCCTCTACCCCACCCCAATAATCTACTTGTCCAAGTTAAGACACTTAATAACCTTTTTACATAGTGATATCCACAATATCTCTTTGTAGTCTTCCGACCTTTTCTCTACCAATTTGGTAATACATTTTAATTTGGTAAATATTGCCTCCTTTTTATGGTCAGTAAAATGGTATCGATCTGTGCTGCTGTGGTTAGAATTGTGAGTCGACCATATGTAGTAGACTTAAAGCTGACGTAAGTGTTGGTTCTCTTCAATAATCTTCTAGTGTTCGTCCATGTTACCTGTTTCAAGCAGTACGTGCTGCACTTACTAATCGGATTCGTAGTTTGGGAATCTGAGGCATAAAGTAAGCAATTCACGCCACATTACTTGATAGGACCAGCCAAAAGAGAATATACCTTGTCAGAATCTTACTTGAGGCTCCACAATGCCTTGATCTACCTTAAACAAATGCTCGATGACTCCTACCCTTCGGTGTTCGACGGACAACTGCCACAGAAGCAGCTTTAATGTAATAGTACTAATAATAGTAAAACTTGGTATGCTGTGCTTCTCGGACAAGGGAGAGCAAACGTTTTGTTATTGAGACTGAAGCGATGATTGGAAGATTTGGTGGATTGTTAGCATCAAGTTGGAGATTGCATTCCATTCTGTGTCGCTCCCCTTGGATAATCATTAACTTTACCCATCCCCGAGATGCGAGAGGAGAGGATGGGGCTCGTCTGCTTAATTGTTTAACCATTCCTGATGATTCTAAAGTATTCTAAATTGTGCATTCGTAGTCTTTGCTGATCCATTAGTTTTCAGTAAGAACGATCGCTCATAGATCAAGTGAAAACGTTCTTTTCTGCTAAAGATTATCAAAATTTCACTTTTCTTTTCGCTAATCCCCAAGACTTGAGTTTTTGAACTTTTGCTCATGATAGTCGATTCGCAGATAGGAAAAATGGAAAAAAAACAAATGATAAAAAGAACGCTGCAAACTAAATAAACTAAATTGAGGGAAAGCGGTGCTATATGTCTCACTGTTAACTGTTAACTACCAACTTCGATCCCTCTAGAGTGTCTACAATGGCCACCTAAATCAAGATCATTAGTAAAACAATCCTCTATTACAGCTTTCTTTACATTTTGTAAAAGGGATTTTTTGATATTACCAGACTTAAAGCTCACCTTTGGATTGCGAACTAAGTAATCACCTAGGCAAAGAATGTGAGGAGCTTGGAAAACCCACTCCTTCGTGGAATCTGGCAGCCAAACTTCAGCAAAGTCGACTTCGGCTTTGAACTAGTATGAATTTTTATATATACCAGAGTTATTGCGTCCCTTCATAGATCTGTAAGAATTATAGGAAAAGCGTACATTAAGTCCACCAAGGCACTGAGTCAATTCTTGTCGTCTCACAAACTGAGCAACTCAAATTCAATCAAAAAAAAAACTAGAGGAAAGAAATGCGGCGTTGTCATCAATATTCAACCACAAAAAGATGCAAAGCTAAGTGGAACATTGTTCTACTTAACCTGACGAATTGAAATTAATTTGAATTGATAAAGAGTAAATTGACTGGTATATAACCAAATTGACTCAATTCAAGCTGTTATTGAAAAGTGGAGCATATTTACTTTTGAAGGCTCTATACGAATAAGCAGAGTTAAGTAAGTAACAAACAACACCGCAAAGCCAATTAACTAAATGTCCTCCCACCATCTACAACCAAAATAACTTCAAACCACCTATCCACATGCCTGAACAGTATAATAATATATACTGGCTTTTGAAATAGACGAAGGATTTTATTGGCAAATAATTGAGTAAAAGGAATCCTGTCGTCATGTAGTCATAGGTGAATGGTTGAAGAGTGGTGAGAAATATATTAGCAAGAACTCCACACGAGGTTAGTGCAGTCAGCAAATTGCAAAATAAGGGAAAAAGGGGTGGGGGGGAGGGGGGGAGAGGAAGACGAATGATTGAATACATGAAGGAACGTAAGAGGAAAAGAATAATTTCTGTAGTGATTGACTTGAAATACAGTCACATTCAGTTGACCGAAATAGCGTAAAGACGGAGACTAAAGGAGAGGAAAACTATTATTTTTGAACACACCGCTTACCAAAGGTTGGGGTTGGACCACTCCAAAGGAATTTTGAGAGATTTGACTGTGACGTCTATTATCTGTCCTAACTTACTGATCTCATTGGTGATTTTGAGCTGATGGTTCGGGATTCACGTGTAAAAGGAGGCTTTAGACAACAGCGAAGGTACCTTGATACTATTCTAAAATGAAAGAAACCAAGATAGCCATTTACAAAATTAATATAGTGATTAGTACAATTCAATTAGGCAAACTGAAGCCAAGAAATAAGATATCCCCAACAGGTTTCCTCTCCCCCTTATTCTATTGGCTAAGTTATGTTCACACTTTGCTCTTATTGATCTTTTTGTGCTTTAGTTTGTTTTCACTTGTACTATTCAAAGTACTTTAGTTTTGAGCGATTCTGAATGGGAATTCACATCGACCAAAAATGAAGTACAAGGTACGTTATCGTACCGCCTTAACAACCACTTTTCTAACTACCAAATACGGATTCTTTGCGTTTTGACATAGGATGAAGGTAATTGCAAATGCCAGCATAACAAGTGGGCAAAGTTATGGGTGCTGATAGTAATTTTGAAGGTCAATTTTAACGGTTTATTAATAGATCTATGATTCAAGATAGAATAGGTAAGAATAAATCCCTTTAATGCTTTGAATGTGTAAGAAAATGCTTAAGTTAGGGTAAAAGTTTGAACTCTACCGAAAGGTATCTTCAGTTTAAGTAAATCGATGACATATTTTTTTAAAATGCTCAATTCGACATCCAATACAATTAATCATTAAGAAATTCAGAATAAACTCCAGAAATGTGAAAGATGGACGGCAGAACGTAAATCAGTAAATTGCTTCATCACTATGGATTCAGAAGTTAAGGTATTTAAAGCTCATGCGGTGTTATTATTTTATTTCAAACTTTTCAGCTTCACCATTTACTGCTTAATATATTTTGTTTCCTTGTTCAATTGCTTTCTTAAATTTAAAATCAATAACTTTCTTCACGATCATGAGTAATACTGATGCTAATTTTCATTGAATACCATAATTCTTCTCTAATTTTCACATTCGAATTCATATGATTAATAACGCTGTATAACTTGATCGTCGGAGAGAATACAATCCACCTCTTTAAGCATGAGGTGATTAAGTTACACCTATTGCAAGCATAGTCCAGTCGATTTGATTGGATATTGTCGTCGATATAGTGACAGATTTCCAGCTTTTCTGGCCATTTCTTACACCTTCCCAGCCATAAATATGGAGCAGAAAGAAGTGTCCACGCCGCTTTCATCAAAGTCGCATCAAACGTCGTGTTTTATCAATCTTGATTCGTGAAGAGTTAAGACGCCTTCTACGACTCTAGTCTAAAGAATTCCAATAGGATTTCAAGAGTTTAGTGTTTGTTGAAAGGAACCGGAGGTGGAGCACGAATACGAGAAAATCGGTACACAGGTGGATCTTTACGATGATTTAGTGTCTAAACAAGGAGAGTCGTGTTAGCCGATTGCTTCAAGTAAGCGACCTTCAATCTTGCCCTAAGTACTGAAAAATAATGGATTTTGGGTCGCATGAACTCTCACCCTCGGTCCAAATTTAAGACCTCAAATTTCACGCAGCCAATCACATCAGACAAATACGACGCAATCAATTTGCCAACGCCTTAAACGTACAATTTTAAAAAAAAAGAAATTATAGTTGCCACCTACTATCATGGTGAATACCTAACCATCTTGCTTCATCGTTTAGTTTCTTAGATAGCTATTGGGCACAATCCCCCCCCCCCACTTGCTTTGAAGTGATGCCATGTGACTTCTCACATTTTACTCAGTGTAATATTTTGTAGGTAATTCCAAGTTTCACATGTCAACTTTTATCTCACCTGTCAAAGCATTTATACGCTAGCTAACTGATGAGATATAATAATAATCCCATAATGTAAGAATTAATCACATCAACAGTTAGAGTTTTGTTCAGTCTTTACTGATATTCTGACAAGCACCTCCAATATAAATTAAACAAACCATTCCCTTAACGAATTTTTATATCAAATGGCGGGCTTTATGATAGTCATCATTAGCCCTTTAATTGAATTCTGGCTTCACAGAAGGGAGGAATATCAAAGTCACAAGTATTTGAGGAGGAGGAGGGGGGGGGGGACAGAAGGGTGTTTCACAGATGTAAAAGTACCGACAGACACAAAAGTAGAGAAAAAGGTAAGGTGGGATGAGTACTGTGAAAGTGGTGGAATGTGACATACAGTGGGCTCATGGTAGTTTGAAGTGAGAAGTCAACTGCCGGTCAATTGACTTTTTTACCGTATGATTATACGTTGCCCAGGGTGCACCACGTGGAAGTAAGTCTATCGCACCCCCCCCCCCTTAATGAATATAATTCGGTATATATGCTCCAAGTGATCATGAAACCGATCAGTTAATATTCCCATATTGTTAATATGGGAATATTATGTTTCGAAGAGAAAATGGTGTGTGGGGGATTTCGTACCTGTAAAGTGAGGATTTCTCAGGGCTTAGATATGAATCTGCACTTTTCTATTCCCCACGTATTTCAATTTCTTGGGAAGCAATATTTCAAAGTCATGTTGGCGTTATTCAAAATTTAAAAGAAAATGCTGAAATCTAACTCTTTCCAAGCCTTCCCCC